ATTAAATAAATATTAATTATTTTACTATTATTATTAATTACTTTTAATAATTAAATTAAACAAAATTAAATGGATATTTATAACAAAAATGGTGGGGCTTAATCACACCTTTTTAAAAACTATTCTTTCCTTTTGTTTCCTGAATTTTCTTTGTTTTTATCTCCATTGCGTATTTGCTGACATTTTAATAATCTCCTTCTTGAAATCTTCAACGCGTATGAGAACAACTCTCTTGAAATTTTCTGATTCCTAGCCGTTAATAACCCCTTCAGAACCCCCCTGGTTTTCTGACATTCCCATCACGAGAAATCTCTTCTCTTTTGTGGATTCTGATATTTTTCCTGTGTTGGGGTTTGTCTTTAATCAATTGGGTATTGTTCTTGCTCCCTCAGTAAACCTTTTTCCAACAACCGTGTTCTTCCTCTGTTTCTGTTTCAGACCTTTTCTTCTATCCTCTACTCTCCTCCATAAAAGAGAAAAAACTTGGGTTTTTTTGTTTTGTTTTTCAGTTTTTCAGTTTTTAGTTGATTTTATTTTGTTTTTCATTCTCTGTTTTACGAGGATTTTTCTGTTTGATCTGCAGTTTCCAATATTTATACCCCTTTAGCTTTCTGTTTTTGATCTTTGCTTCGAAACCCACTTTTCTGAGTTGAATCAATACACAATCTTTTCCGTTTAAGCTTTCTTGATTTCTGTTTCCCACAACGTTCTCAGGCGGTTTATTGTACTTAAATATACTATAACGAAGTCTACATATTCTTGTTTTGGGATTTAAGTTTGATTTCTTTTCTTTCTCTTTCCTCTGGGATTCATTGGATTCTTTATTTTTCTTATTTGTTTTCTTTACAAAATAAAGAGATTTACCCACAAAAACCCTCCTTTATTTATCTTATTGTAACTTCCTCCCCTTTTTCTAGGAAACCCATTATATAAGCACATCACTGGATTTTCCCTAAAAATCTTTGAATCATTCCTGGTAAACAAACAGAAAGATGAGAACTTCTGGGGTTTTGAGGAGGAACATGTGTCTATGGCGGTTTGTGTTGGTGATTTGCCTCTGTTATGTTGTAGTTGTTGATGGTCTTGGTGTGAATTGGGGTACAATGGCTACACACAAACTGCCACCAAAGGCTGTGGTGCAGATGTTGAAAGATAATGGGATAAAGAAAGTGAAGTTGTTTGATGCTGATTCAAGCACCATGAGTGCTCTTGCAGGCAGTGATATTGAGGTCATGATTGCTATTCCTAATGATCAGCTTGCTGCCATGAATGACTATGACCGTGCTAAGCAGTGGGTCAATAGGAATGTCACAAGTTACAATTTCAATGGAGGAGTTAACATCAAGTAAGTTCAGTTGTTTTTTTCTATTTTCCATCTTTCTCTGATGGAGCCTTTGGTGTGAAGTTACTCTATTTCTTTTTTAATTGAATTCAGATCTTTTTTGAATGTATTTGATTTGTAGTACAATTTTTTGTGTTATTTGTACTAATACAATTTTGAGGTTTGATATAGCTTATTTATAACATAGTTTGGTGTGGGTATTCAAGACTTTGATAATTATGCCTTGAATATACAAAGTATGTGTTGTTATTTAATATTTTGAGTCTTTTGGTGTAAACGATGATACCTAAATAGCCGATTTCATGAATCAGAATATTTTGATGCTTGAATTTTGAGGGCTTGTAGATGATTTAGTATAAAATAAGATTTAAACTTGAAACTTGTTGATTTGGAAAGGGGGAGGACTATCCATGTTTTCAGATGTACCACCAAAAAAGCTGATTTCTTCTGTCCAAGTTATTCCTTTCTATGGAAACAACTTTCATTTTTCATGGACTTCATTGTTTATGTTATTGCTAGAATCTGTTCCAATGCCTACATTAGAGAAGTTTTATTAGTGGTCTAATTTTTACTTGAGCATCTTTCTTCTCATTGCTTGCGTTGGAATAATTTAAAGTGTCTTATTCTTATAAAAGGTGAGAGTTGTGTGTTGGTTTATTTGATTTCTGAATCTATAGCTTCTGATGGTGGTTAAGCATTCGTAATTGGTAAATTATTCCATGTTCTGAAGTGCATTTAATGGGCCTATATGTTCTATTGATTTTGAGAAAAAAATAATATTGGTTTCCTTTTGCTCAATTTTCTTTGGTATAGATAAAAAATTTTAAATATCTTTTCTCTGTTGCATTAGACAATGGTTATTTGCAGGTCATTAACTTCTTGGAAAAGTTTGTTTCGTATCTTGCCACAGGGTTCCAACTTGTTGCTTTGGCCAACTTTGGATTCCCCTTTGTATAATACTAGGCTTTCAGTTGGCATTAGATTCTTGGCAATGTTGTTCTTCCATAGCTTTATTCCAAACCACCGGAGGATGGACAACTCGTGGAAACTTTTTCCTTCTTAGAATCTAGGTGATATCAGTTGGAAAAGAAAACTATTTAAGAAGAACCACTGAAAAAATCCAACAATCATGATGGATTATTGGATGTTTAAACTTGACATCTCTTATCTTGGAAAATTTGTTGCCATTTTAGATTTATTATAATGAGGAGCATTTGTGGGAACCTTTTTTGGCTGTAACTTTTAGCCTGATAAACTAATTAAAGGTTGGACCATGAAGGACCTCTAGAAGTTTCAATGGGCCAAAAAGTGATTAGATGAAAACCCTTTAGCCTTCTTGTTGGTGATTTGTCCCAACATTGCATCAATGAATCTTCAAGGCATGTGTTATGAATGAGCCATCACAAAAGACCACAAAGTTGTTGGATTTTATTTCTTCTGTTAATTATGAAGTAGTTAAAGACGAACATGTCTGTCCAATTTCACAATGCAACTGCTAATTTTTATGCAATCTAGTTAAGAAACTTCGATCTTTCACCAGTTTATACAATTTTCTGTTCTCATTTTGATTTAATTTCTAATTTCCTCAGGTAGAATTGTTAAGAATGGTATCTTGCAACTAAGTTATCCTATATCTTAATATTCGTTCAACTTTTGTACAGATATGTTGCAGTTGGGAATGAGCCTTTCCTATCATCCTACAATGGATCATTCATAAATATCACGCTTCCTGCTCTTCAGAACATTCAAAATGCACTCAATGAAGCTGGGGTAGGAGACTCCATCAAGGCTACAGTACCCTTAAATGCTGATGTCTACAATTCCCCCGTTAGCAATCCTGTTCCATCTGCTGGGCAGTTCCGGAGTGATATCAGTGGAATTATGACCCAGATTGTCGACTTTCTTAGTAAGAATAATGCACCTTTCACTGTGAACATCTATCCTTTTCTCAGTCTGTATGGAAATGACAACTTCCCTGTTAATTATGCTTTCTTTGATGGAGCAACTCCCATTGTTGATAATGGGATTCAATACACAAATGTTTTTGATGCCAACTTTGACACCTTGGTTTCGGCTTTGAAGAGTGTAGGACATGGGGACATGACCATTTTGGTAGGGGAGGTTGGTTGGCCCACAGATGGAGACAAGAATGCTAATATAGGCAATGCTTATAGATTTTATAATGGGCTCTTACCAAGACTTGCAGCCAATACAGGCACTCCACTGAGGCCTGGATATATAGAAGTTTATTTGTTCAGTCTTATTGATGAGGATGCCAAGAGCATTGCTCCAGGAAGTTTTGAGCGTCATTGGGGAATCTTCAGGTATGATGGGCAGCCTAAATTTGGCATAGATCTAACTGGTCAGGGTCAAAACAAGCTTCTTATTGGTGCACAGAATGTGCAGTATCTTTCTCAGAGATGGTGCATGTTTAATCCAAATGCCAAGGACCTAAGCAAGCTCGCAGATAACATCAACTATGCTTGCACCTTCTCAGACTGCACATCACTTGGTTACGGGTCTTCGTGCAATGGCCTGGATGCTAATGGAAATGCTTCTTATGCATTTAATATGTACTACCAGGTCCAGAATCAGAATGATTTGGCATGTAATTTTCAAGGTCTGGCCATGGTTACCACACAGAATCTTTCAACAGGGTCCTGCGATTTCATGATTCAGATAGCTTCTTCTTCATCCTCTCTAGGTCCATCACTGTTGGGGTTAGCAATTCTAACATTATTGACATTATTGCTATAAATCTTTATTCTGTAGACACCTCCAATTGCACAATTGTAGTTCATTTTTTCTATCTTATTCAGTATGTCACAGGTTCTTGGCTTCCTGATTTTGTTGAGATTGATTCAATAAAATCCTTATTTTGATCTCTTAGCTTCCCATACAATAATACAGTTTGCTTTTCAATTGAATATGCTGTGATGAAACAGATTGATATTTCTTAAGTTAATCTTCATTTCTATGGTATCAATTTACAAAAGGGTAATCATATGGAGATAATTTTTTTTTTTTTTTTTTTTTCTATGGTATCAATTTACAAAAGGGTAATCATATGGAGATAATTTTTTTTTTTTGTATAATATTTTAATACAATTTGTAAATATCATTAAATGAGTCCAGATATACAATATCAAAATCTCAGTTCATTAAATGATGCATAAGATTGTATAAAAAATTCATTACTGAATCAATTTCCTTCATAACATCCAATCAACAAGAACTTAAACTGAAATTGTATTTCATTCATATCAAATACTTAATTCGAGGTCAAAGTTTGGGAACTCAAACTTCTGCAATATTAAACACTAACTCATGATTTTTCATTTTTATTTAAAAAGAAAAGGAATTTAGTTAAGGGTATGTTAGGTGAACAATTTATTCACAACTTTTGAATATTATTAAATAAGTAAATGTATGCAATATTAAATGTCATCGAAAAGTTAAACGAGTTAATCATTAAATGATATGTAAAGTATGAAAATGTTATACAAAAAGTTGTCTCATAATCATTTTCCACTAAGAAATAAATCTCTATCACTTCTTCTAAGTTTGGTTATTTGCTTACTTTCTCCATTCATTTTTAATAAATTAATTTTTTTATCTAATAAAATAAAGATATACTAATTTATTAATAATATTTTATATTTATCCTTAATTAAATATTATTTAAATAAAAAATCTTGTTTAATATATATTGTAATTATCTTTTTAAAATAATAATATAATAAGAACAAACGTATTAAAAGATATTTTAAAAATATAAACTATTTAATTTAAAAGCTCAAAAAAAGAAATAAATCTATCGAATTTCAACTGATAGGGTTGTAAATTTGTTTAACTTAAGATACAAGTCAAATGTGCATTAATTATACATTTTCTTTGTTAATTTGCATAAAAACTATTAAGAATTAATTTTACTTTTAATATCAATAACAAATATATAATTTTAAAAGAACAATTAATAAAATTAAAATAACTTTTACTTTTCATAACAATTAATTCAAAAACAATATAACTATTATACATTTAACTTGTAAAGTAAAAATAACCCTTATTTATCATCATATCAAGGCTTTATTCATGTTAATGCATAAAAAGTATTAAGATATAGAAGATAAAAAGAAAGATGAACTAAGAATACTAAAAACACCCATCATCATATTATTGGATACACTAAAATCAGTCATTAGGTTCACCGCTTCTAGCGTTTTCCATGTCTGCTGTATTCCACACGTACAGTATAAAATTATAGTTACAAGGTAGGGAAAACTGATTGTTAAAACAGGTCAGAACGTACACAAGATTGATGAAAAAGCAAACAAGGATCAAAATTGGACTTTAGTTTTACTTATTGATATTATCCAAAGGAAAGCTCAACATTAATCCATATGAAACGCCCAGTTCTTCCAATCTTTTGTTCTTTCTCCCCAGCTAAATTACTTAACACAGGACATTCTGACCCTTCATCTGGGATCACTTTAGTAGGATCTAGCAGTACATCAAAGACCCAACTCGCTGAGGAACAGAAGAAACCAATGAGACAGCCCCTAGACCTGTTTTAGTATTCACATTTGAATCCAACTCCAACAATGCCACAAATGCCACAGAAGCGTCTGCCAAAAAATCATGGTTGTCAGGTGCAATATTGAATACAAATTCTAAACACGTAGTGATGGAGTATTGGCTCCTTACCATTGCTGGACCTTCCTAAACTCAGTGAGCACAGGGTATATATTCTCAAAGGCTGTGTATGTCTCATCTCTCACCTAAGTTTATATGCAATAAGATATGTAAGAGAATATCAGCCAAAACAAGATATACAATAAATAGAACAGGAAGATGCGAAAAAGAATAATCACCTTAGCTCCAGTAATCACAATCTTCCCTGAGACAAAAATAAGAAGCACAATTTTTGGCTGTTTCATGCGATAGATCAGCCCTGGGAAGAGTTCTGGCTCATACTGTAAATGATAACATAGAAATAAGTCTTCAATCCTTAACATAAAAGTCTCTAATAATAAACTGCAAAGGATTCTTCCGTTTTCCCAAGCCTGTTTACTAACCAAAAGATAACTCAATTACAAGCGTTATTCTAGTTAACACATCGAGCTAGTTCCCATTGTTAACAAAATATCAACAGCAGCCTAGCCAAGGATTGCTAACATAAAACCTTCATTTGGTCTGAGTTTAAACTTCTGCAATAGCTTTGCAAGACTAACAATTTCCAATTAGCATGTATTTGACAGACAAGAATCACATGCAAAGAAAATTAACAACAAAGTCGCTATGTGCATAACTATATTCAAATTGATATAAAATAGAGTGAATGAATTGTGATGATCTGTTATTGTCACTTACACTTGAAAAGGCACCATGGGAGTAGGCAAGACCTTCAAGTCTGATTGGGAATTTAACATCACAGGAGCCAACAATGTTCTGAATCTTGAAATCCTGCCATCACAACTAGGGTAAATATAATGCCATTGCGAAAGGAGACACCTTAAAAAAGGAAGTTTGATAGTGATTAAGCATCTTATTGCATAAGAGGAGGACAAAAGCCACCTTAAACTTGGCAGCAAACCCAAGCTTTTGGATAATTCTAGCATACTGCAAAAATACATAAATATCAGATCACAAAAAACCAAAACCAAACTTTCTTGACCACTTAACCTAATTATAAAAACATATTAGTTAATATTTAGGCAGTGGTTTTCACCTCTAACACAAGACTAGGAGTTGAAGGAACAGGCATTAAAAAAAATAAAAAAAAAAAAAAAAAAAGCATACATACCTTTCTTGCCGCTAGTTTGGAATCTATTTCACTTTTGGCACCTGTGCACACCTGAAACAGAAGACACAATAGTCCTTTTAGTAAGGCGATAATTTGAAAAACTTCATCCAACCATATCAGATGAAAAGTTAATGATTTTAGACAAAATGAAACAATAATTACTTTCTAGAGAATTTGAACATTAAGAGCAAGAATTAAATTAAAGTTCTAAAAATATCAAACTTACCATCTTTCCAGAGGCAAAAATCAAAGCAGTAGTCTTTGGATCTCTTATCCTCATAATGACAGCAGCAAAACGCTGTACAAGAATATCATAGAACAGAAGTTTATCAATAAATAACCAAGAGGGAGAGACACCACTTGACATGACACAAACTTAAAATATGAAAACAATTTGGCAAGCCACTGCTTACCTTAGGGTTGTATTCAGCATTACGAGCTTGAAGTGCAATTTGCTTAAGATCCAGCTTGCAATCCAAGTTGACAGTTGATACTATGTTTCTAGATACACATTAAAGCAAATTATGCTAAGATGTCTAGAAATAAAATATGCCAAATCATATTCCTGTATGGTTCACCACAATATGCATTGGTTTCCAAAAGAAAAGTGTAAGAAAGAACTACCCAATCTTCTACCAGCACCCAACAAAATCATCATCACAATCAATAGCAAAAAACAGATAATCCATCAAATAGCCAGATGCAGGAAAAATAGTTAGAACTATGGTACATAAGGAATTTAAGATAGAGAGATTTAGAATAAGATTTCAAACCCTTGTTGGCCACAGGACATAAGGCAAGACTTCCGACTAAAATGTAATTCATACATCTATGCAGACTTATGTAACAACCATACAGAAGGCAACAAACTTATAATCATGTTAGGCAATTTTTCTCAGAAGGCAAGTTAAAATAATTTCCTTAAGAGATTGGGCCCCAAAATATGAGAATAGTGTTTAGCATAGCAGTTTGAAACTAGAGGGTACCCAAATGGAATAAACTTAGTAGAACAGACAATTTCCAGCCATGCTGCAGAAAGATTCGAAGTAAAAATTTATTAAGACATATGTAAATACAGTTTATAAAGATACTAGAAGGAAGACTACCATTTTTGGCTTTTTTTGGAAAGTAGTAACATCATAATGGGGCAAATTTCACTTCTTTCTTAATCATTAAAGTGTACCCTTTTTCAAGTTTAGGGAAAACAGATATAACCTCTGGTCCATTATATTGTTGTCAAAAGCAAAGAAAGTTTTCTCAATTCTCACTTCAACTTATAATTTATTAACTAAACATAGTTTTCAAAAATGAGAATTATTACACTTGTATGACCTCTGAACGCAATAAAGAAATGATAATAGGTTCAGCATTGACATTAGCCCTTAAATACTTGGGTTTAAGTCTTTCCATTAGTGTAAAAAACCAAGTTTGATATTTGGTTTGTTAAGTTAGATGAGCCAAACTCAAGCCTTATATTCTTCTCAGATAAGCTCCAATCAAAAATAAAACAGAGAGCACTAAGCTACAAGCATATTCTATCTTACATAGATCAATTCATCATAATCTTTAATATGAATGTACTCAACAATCATAATCCCATACAACTCTTTTCAGTCAAATTTACAAAAATTTACAAGAAAGATAAAATATTTAGCACACCCATCATCACCCCTTACATGATTCAACCAAGAACCAACATAGCTAGAAAAACCTAAGTTGACTTTAAAACCCACTATCATAATAACACCCCGTCCCCAGACGCTCACAGCATCCTTCAAATCACAAGATCCAACCAGTACCCGCCCAGAGACAATCTTCCCACCCCAACCGATTCTTGACAGTGGAAAAAGCATGCATAAACTTGTTTTATGCAAACAAAACGTGATTAAAAAAGAGGAATATTAAACTAGAGACTTACTGAAGGGTAGGAACAATGCCAGACGGGTGCTTGGAAAGATCCACGGGCTGGCTACCTTCCAAGCCACCTTGCTCTGCCATTCTCTTTGTTCCTCACTTCCCGAAAACCAAAAATCCAACAAATTTCTCCAAAAAATAATTTATGGGTTTCTCTTCTCAAACCAAAACAAGACAACCCAGATGAATTTTAACCCGGATCTGACAAAATCAAATACCATACAAAACTAGGGTTTCCGACAAAGAACTAAAACTCGACGCCATTAGGAGAAAAATTCAATCAAAAATTGAGAAAAAGAGGGTAGATTTTTGAAATCAGGAGTCTTTTATAGGGGTTTTGATGAAAATAAGGGAGAAGGGTTGAGGATTGAGAATTGAGGCGTGAAGGGTCTGAGGTCTGAATAAGAGAGGGGTAGAGCAGAGAAAGAGAAAAGCGGTTGATGAAAGGCCCTGGCTTTTGTACCCTAGGTAAGGGTATTTATAGAGGTTGACCGGTTACCAGGTGTTTAACCGGTAAAGCACGGGGATTACCGGTTTTGCCCGTTTTTTTTTTTTTTTTGCCGAATTCCTGATTTTCTCCCTTCCCTCTCGTAAAACTCCAAACTTGTTCCCTCGACTATTGTATGGAATATAATTTGATCCTTAAATTTGAAAACTTTTTTATTGAGTTTTTAAAGTTGCGAAATTTAGCCTTGGATTAGTTCCCTCGTTAAAAATTCGCTAAGGTGTCTCGTTACTAAGCAGGACAGAGCTGACACTTAAAACGACTTTTACACGTATGATTGATAACATATAAAAAAAAATGACATGACAAGTAAGATTAACATTAATTCTTAAATAAAGTTAAAACTATATAAAAATAAAAGAGTTAAGATTTATTTATACATATATTTTATATATTACATTTATATAAAATTTTAATAATTCGGTTTTTTATTTTTAATAATTAAGATTTATTTACTTTTTAACATATTTGTTAAAAGATAATTATCTTTTTTATTTAAAAATTATAATAACTTTTTAATATTAAAAATTAAAAAAAATAATTTAAATTTTATATAAATGGAATATATAAGATTTATATAAAAATAAGTTTTTACTCAAAATAAAAGTATTATCTTTTGATGTGGCATTAGAAGTTGTTATTTCAATTAAAAGAACATGTTATTTGTCATGTCATTCTTTTTGTTATCCTATCAATCCTACATGTAAAAATCTTTTTACATATCATCTTCGTCTTGTCATATAACGTAACACGGAAGCAAATTTTTAACAGAGGAATTAATTTAGAGTTAAATTTTTAAACTTTATAGATTAAATTAAGAATTGTTTAAGTTTAGAGACTAAGTGAGCTCTATATAATAGTTGAGGGATTAAGTTTCGGGTTTGACCTATTTATACAAGGTTCTAGAAGGCAAACGTGGAAGTCCGGAAAATTGGCGTTTTAATATTTTATCCGTGCTCGGTTTGGTTGACTGTTCACGTCAGTGATTAAAAACTAGGTTGAATGTTAA